CAATAACCAGCAATCCTGACAGAGCTTTGTTTACACTGATAATTATTACACAGTATTTATATAGTGCCAACAGTTTGCTCAGCGCTTTACAATATAACGGGAGACAATACAGCAACAATACAGTTTGATACAAGAGGGAAAGGAGGGCCTTGGAGCTTACAATCTAGGAGATAATCAAGGCACTGATTATCAGTGCAACCCCAATAGTGCCCATCAGTGCACATCTGTGAAGAAAAAAAATTACTTATTTGCAATATTTTACAACAGAAACGAAAAAAGCTTTTATGGGGTTTTTTTTTTTTTTCAAAATTTTCAGTCTTTTTTCCTTTGTTAAGCAAATCTAAAAAAGAAGTGGTGATTAAATACCAGCAAAAGAAAGCTCTATTTGTGTGAAACAAAATGTCATAAGTACAGTGTTGCATGACCACGCAATTGTCAAAGTGCGACAGTGCTGAAAGCTAAAAATTGACCTGGGCAGGAAAGTGATGAAAGAGCCTAGTATTGAAGTGGTTATTCTACATTACATGTTGGATTGATGGGACCAGTAGTTTATATAATATAGATAAGGTTGTGCTTTATTTTCAACTCACAGGAAGAGACAAGGACATTGCATTTGTGGCAAGATCAACATGTACAGTTAGGTGCATAAATATTTGGACACAGGCACAGTTTTAGAATTTGTCAGGTATTTACCAAAACATATTCAAACTATAAATATATAATGAATATGGGCAGAAAGTGCACACTCAGGTTTAATTTGAGGGTATGTACATCCAATTTGGTGGAAGGGTTTAGGAATCACAGCTCTTAAGATTAGCCATCCCTCCTTTCTCAAGGGACCAAAAGGAATTGGACAACTGAATCAAAAGCTGTTTCATGGCCACGTGTGGGCTACTCCTTTGTTATTTATTCATCAATTAAGCAAGTAAAAGGTCTGGAGTTGATTCTAAGTGTGGTATTTGCATTTGGAAACTACTGCTGTGAACCTACATCATGCGTTCAAAGTAGCTGTCCATGAAAGTGAAACAGACCATTATAAGGCTTCAAAAACTAAACAAATCCATCAGAGAGATAGCAGCAACATTAGGAGTGGGCAAATCAACAGTTTGGTACATTCTGAGGAAAGAAGAACACACTGGTGAGCTCAGCAACATAAAAGGCATTGACGTCCACGGAAGACAACAGTGGTGGATGATCGCAGGATCCTCTCTATCGTAAAGAAAAACCCATTTACAACATCCAGACAAGTGAAGGACACTCTCCAGGTGGGCTTATCAAAATCTACAATCAAGAGAAGACTTCAGGAGAGCAAATACAGAGGGTTCACCACAAGGTGCAAACCATTCATTAGGCTGAAGTATAGAAAAGCCAGATTAGACTTTGCCAAAAAAAAAAATCATCTAAAAAAAGCCAGATCAGTACTGGAAAAGCATTCTTTGAATGGATGAAATTACCTGTACCAGAATGACAGGAAGAAAAAAAAAAAGTGTGGAGAAAGCTTGGAACAGCTCATGATCCAAAGCACAAAACGTAATCTGTAAAACATGGCGGAGGCAGTGTGATGGCATGGGCATGCATGGCTTCCAGTGGCAATGGGTCTTTGGCGTTAGATGATGTGACAGAAGCAGCCGGATGAATTCTCAAGTGCTTATACATATACTGTCAGCACAGATTCAGCCAAATGCAGCAAAGTTGGTTGGACGGAGCTTCACAGTACAGATGGACAATAATCCAAAACACACTGCAAAAGCAACCCAGGAGCTTTTGTAGGAAAAGAAGTGGAATATTCTGCAATGGCCGAGTCAATCACCTGATTGCAACCCCAATGAGCATGTATTTCACTTGCTGAAGGCAAAACCAAAGGCAGAATGACCCACAAACAAAGAACAACTGAAGACAGCTGCAGTTAGAGCCTGGCAAAGCATCAGAAAGGAGGAAACCCAGTCTATGGTAATGACCATGGGTTCCAGACTTCAGGCAGTCATTGCCAGTAAAGGATTCTCAACAAAATATTAAAAATGAACATTTTATTTATGGTTATAGTCATTTGTCCAATTACATTTGAGCCCCTGAACATGGTGGGACTGTGTATAAAAAAATGGTTGCAGTTCCTAAAATTTGTACTTGCACGTTCAACCCTTAAATTAAAGCTGAAAGTCTGCACTTCAAATTCAGTTGGGTTGTTCCATTTTAATTTATTCTGGTGGCATACAGATCCAAAAGTATGAATATTGTGCCTGTGTCCAAATATATACGGACCTAACTGTATTTGCTGTACCTATGGTCTCAGCCCAAAAAAGAAAAACAGTCATCACATTTAAGGATGGGTAAACGGCAATACAATACATTTTTGTTTTTAGGTTTAGATATGCTTAAAGGGTAACTTCACTTTTGTGTAAAAAAAAAACAGCAAACTAAAAAAAAAATGCATATACAATAGCTACACAAACCATATTGTGATTTTCTTTTTCATCTGCAGTGCTGTAATTTTCTGGAAAATGAAAAGCAACATGGCACCCTGGAGGCATTCTGTACACCACTGGAGTACAGAACATCCCTAAAAATTTGGTTTTCTTATTATGTGATTGCCTCACTGGTTTTCCCAGAGGTCTGCACTAAGATACAAGTCAGATTTTAGGCATCCTCTACAACAAAAATGTAATTGTTTGTATGACGCTCCCAAAGGGTTCATCACTTCTAAAGTCAAGCAGACCCTGCAACTTTTCTCATTAGAACACTGTAAGTGCATCAGCTAATTCATAATGAAAAAGCCACTCCCATTCAAAACCAGTACCCAAAAAGACATAGCTGAACAAACTGGTGTTTGTTCACAGAATAAGCAGGCAGGACTCTGCAACAAAGTTTGTTAAAATCTTTGCAATGTTCATAGAACACCCAGAGGGAATTTTTTCTCAACAAAAGTGAAGTTAGTCTTTGAATACATTGGGGGGGGGGGGGTACTAAGACAGGAGCATACAGAATCTAGAACAGATATGAATAGTAACCAATAAACATCTAACGTTAGTTTCTTTAGTTAAAATGGTCTTAAACCCAAAATCATAATATATACCATCTTACGGCTGCATTTGTTTTCTCTTATTTTAGCCTTTTTTCTTTATGTTCCCCTTTTGTTCTGGCCAGCAAATCTGTCATTTTTCAACTTCCTTTACCATAATAAGCTGTTTAGACAAAGTAGCAGTTAGAAAAAACATTTACTGCTAACAGAGGTGCTTACAATGATCAACTTTTATTCATGTATGTAATCCCTTTATCCCAAAAAGAACACAAAACTACTGCTGTAACCGCTTAAAAGGGTTAGCTGGAGTTAGGATTGAATTATTTTGGCCAAATCTAAATCTGTTAACACTCCCTTCCAAACTGACAATGCTGCTGTCAAAAGGTGCCTCCACTGCTCCTCCATCCAGAGTGAAAACGCCTTAAGACAAGGAAGTCTGTTATTGGCTGGATCACGAGGTGAAAATAAAGGAATAAAAAAAAAGAAGAAAGAAAACTAATGCCACCACATTTAAAAACTTCTAGGCTGCAATATCTTACAGGAACTAATCTCAGCTCCACTCCAGTGATGTGCTGTCCAGGAGCTCCCTGTTCACATCTTGGCCAGCCTCCTTCTGCGTTTTAACCTCCAATCGTTTTGATTAGCTGCGCCAAGACGATACCACTCCCGTGCATGCGCAGAAGTTCATTCATCTCAGCAGATGCTGACATTGCATACTGTCCTGCATATATGCAGCTTAGCATATATTGTGAACAAGCAGGTAAGAATACTTTAATACAGAAAGACCTAGAATGTCTCCTGTGTATTAAAAAAGCCTGCTTGTTTGGAAAACTTTTTGTTTTTAAGTAAAGTTCAATGTTAAATGTTTTGAGGTTTAATACCTCTTTAAGCTTTTAAAATGAAAGCTAGGAGCTGATTGGTGGCCATGCACAGCTGTTCCAGATTCTGGCTGCTCCAATCTTAATAAATTCCCCTCATCGTACTATTTGGCCTCATGCACACACGCCACGTTTTACTGATCTGAATATCTATGAATGGTTGTATATGGAACAATGCACACTGTTATGCATACAGCTGTGTAAAGATCAGTAATAAAGTGATGAGTACAGAGTTCTGACACAAAAATAAAAAGTATTACATTTGCGTGCAGTAATTTGCATGCATACAAATTTATATTGCCACATTAGAAATTAAAAAGAATTATATTCATTTATGCAAGGTTTTTACGGAACACTTTGCTCTGGATCTGGCTCCAGTCACACTTCTGTGACTTGTGCGACTGTGGAAACAAAGTGCATGTCAAGTCACAGCATTATTTTTAATGTCACCTGTTTGGATCTAGGCATTGTCGCTGCGACTTTGAAGGGGTTCCTGCACTACTTGGATGTGTCTTAATGGCAAAGAGTGTAAAGTTGTATCAAAGTCACACTAGAAATCGTGTGACTTTGGAGTCGCACAAGTGTGAATGGAGCCTTTTTCAACAAGATCCTAAGTATAAACATTGGTAAATTCTTACGTCCATGTGCAACTGGCTTTTTAGCTGTCACAAGGTTTGACCCTTGGTTCACACCTATGCAGTACAGTCCATTTAACATGGTTTCCTATGGCTCTAGATCACATCTGTGCATTTTTGGAAAGGGTCAGGGACTTTTTCTCCTGCAGCAGATTGTGTGTTTCGTGTAAGACTTCATTGGACCTGCACCAAAAGCGCGAGTATTGTGTTTTTGTTTTTTTTTTATAAATAGGAAAAGTACAGTATGACAGTTCTGTTCATGTGATGTGACTTTAAACTCTCTGGCAGTCAAGTAGTCCCAAAGTACCATCAAAGTCACACTACATGAACAGAACGGTGATACTTTCCTATTAAGAAAAAAGGGAAATAAAAAACGCATCAAAAAAAAAATCACCCCAAACGAGCTGGAAAAACGCATCAACCGTAACCTGCATAGATGTGAACCTAGCCTTGGAGCAAACAGGCACTCACCTGCAAGTGTAACTTAGGTTTCTTCGAATGCTCCTCTTAAAGAAACTCTTGCATCCTTCGCAGGTGAAAACGCCATAATGCTTGCCGCTGGATTTGTCGCCGCAGACCACGCAATCCACCTGAATGCCGGGCCGCTCCTCGTCCCCTTGCTCTGGGTCGCTGATTCCTCCGGGAGGCGAAGCTTCATCCTCTTCCGAGTTTCTGGGGTAACCCTTACCCATTCCATTCGTGTCTCCGTTGGGGTCTCCCCAGCCCCCAGACACCATGGCCATACCAGCACCCGAGTCAAGAACACCAAGAATCGAGCTCTTGGAAGCCCTTTTGAAGAAGTTGGGACGGGCTCCGGATCTCTCGCTCCCTATGGCAACTATTTACAACGGCATTTTCTTTCCGGGAGAGGCGAAATCCTGGAAAAAAACCAGGGCTGTCCAGAGATGAGGTGGTGGTTGTGTTGTGGCTTCTCCTCTCTTGGTGCTGGATGGGGGAGGTAACAGAGGTCAGACATGTGGCAGCACTTTTGCCCTCCTTGTTTGGACTGCCTAGGTGATTAGAGAAGAAAACAGGACAGACCAGTTTGTGGGAGAGCACACAGGTAACAGGATGGAATGGACTAGAGCAGCCCTCAGGGAGCTTAGCAGGGAAGACAAGCTGCTGCAATAACACACTGCTAGGGCAAAGTAGGTGACAATATGGCCACGGGGGGACTACAAAGTCCTCCCAATTAGCCTGGTGTCCAGTCACAGTGAGAGTTAGAGAAGTTTACCCGCTCTTGGTATTGCCCTATCAGCCCGGGCTGGGAGTCCTGTGTGTGTGGACGGCTACGTACACTGAGCACACAAGCTGGCCGTGCTCTGTGTGGGCTAGGTGCCGTGTGAAGGACTACTGCTGCCCTAATAGTGCTCTATGGCTGAGGTGAAAGGTGTGTGACCCGAATTGGGAGTATACTAGGCCCCCCCCTTGCGGGGTACAATTACCCAGAGAAGCCCTTGTGCGCTAGCCCCATGCCCCGGTCCGGAGTGCGGCCGATGGGAGCGGAGAGGGCGGAGAGCTGGGGCCTACCATGTGACCCTGGAGAGGTGGGTCCTCCTGACCAGAGGAGGGAGCCGGCATACGGAGGAGGCTGATATCCTGTCTGTGTGAGGAGAGCTGATTGATGACTGAGTCCGTACAGCTAGGCGCCAAGTAGACATAGTAGCTTGGAGTGTATGTATGGAGGTGGGCTGTGCAGGCTATAGGTCCGCACACATGACTAGGGTGAAAACTGTACATGGAATGATGGTATTCACATATGTGTCTTCAATTTTACACATTATAGGACCATTTTCATCACATTTCTCCAGGTTGCCTTCATGTTTAAGGGTTTGCAAATGCACATGTAATTGTGCCACATGCGTAGGACTGCTCACTGATTGTAACAGGCTGCTACAGAGTACCCTTCACACAGCCGTCATCATCACTGTACCCATCACACAGCCGTCATCATCACTGTACCCATCACACAGCCGTCATCATCGGTGTACCCGTCACACAGCCGCCAACATCGGTGTACCCGTCACACAGCTGCCATCAGTAGTGTACCCGTCACACAGCCGCCATCATCAGTGTACCCGTCACACAGCTGCCATCATCAATGTACCCGTCACACAGCCGCCATCAGTAGTGTACCCATCACACAGCCACCATCATCAGTGTAACCATCACACAGCCGCCATCAGCACTGTACCATCACACAGCCGTCATCATCACGTACCCATCACACAGCCGTCATCATCAGTGTACCCATCACACAGCCGTCATCATCAGTGTACCCATCACACAGCCTCATCAGTCCCTTCACACAGCCGTCATCATCACGGTACCCGTCACACAGCCATCATCATCAGTGTACCCATCACACAGCCGTCATCATCAGTATTACCCTTCACACAGCCGTCATCATCACGGTACCCGTCACACAGCCGTCATCATCAGTGTACCCGTCACACAGCCGTCATCAGTGTACCCCTCACACAGCCGTCATCATCAGTGTACCCATCACACAGCCGCCATCATCAGTGTAACTGTCACACAGCCGCCCGTCAGTGGTGTAACCATCACACAGCCATCATCATCAGTGTACCCATCACACAGCCGTCATCATCAGTGTACCCGTCACACAGCTGCCATCATCAGTGTACCCTTCACACAGCCGTCATCATCAGTGTAACCGTCACACAGCCGCCATCAGCGGTGTACCCTTCACACAGCCGTCATCAGCAGTGTACCCATGACAAAGCCGCCAACAGCAATGTACTCTGCACACAGCAACCATCAGCAGTGTACCTGTCCCAGTGTCACCAGAGCTAGCCATGTCCAAAATAAATTTATACTGGCCAGGGTCAGTTTAAGTGGAAGGGAGAAACATAGTTCAGAAACAATCCAGATGGCAGGCAGGGTAAGGATGGGGTACTCTGAACACCAGGCAACCACCAGCAGCTCAAAACATTCAACTGGTGAATTGCTAAGCACCAATGGTGCGAGACCCCTTGATGAAAGGCCTAGTACTGGGGTATCACATCAAACCTCAAGAACTAGGGCCCATACAAGTCTCCCAGAGGCACTTGCAAACCCATTATGACTGCCCTCCACCTCAGAGTTTATTTTTCACCAACAATTCAGTCAATTGTGGACCAGACCAATCTTCTTGCCCAGCAATATATATCGTAAATAACCCCAATTCACCTTCTGCCCATCCATTTGAATGGAGACCTGTCACAGTGGAGGAATTCAAATTATTTTTGGGCCTGAAAATTAACGTGATTTACAAAAAAATGAAGGACATGCTTACTGGTCCACCCAACCCATTCATTGCATGGCCATTTATTCAGCTGTTACATCAAGGTCACGCTAAGGATCATGCGCTTCCTCCATTACAATGATAATACACTGCCCTCTCTGAAATCAGCCTGGCTGTGATAAGCTTTACAACAATCTTTCGATCATTATTTTTTTTCTCCCAGAGATTTGCCAAATTATATATACCTGACAAGCACATCTGTGCTGATGAGTCCCTTGCCATTTAACTGGCTGGCTGTTAAATGAGTGCCCAACCTACATCAAGAAGTACAGTACAATCCCAGTAAAAGAGAAAGATATGGAGTGACTTTACAAGCTGTTTGAAAAAGTCACGTGGTATTTGCTTGCCTTCTGTCTGGTGCACAAAGGCAAAGATTTTCTCCACCAGCCCCTTGAGTGCCAACCTACATTGGCACAAGTGGAAAAATTGTCTGGTATTTCCACTATTCAAAAAGGGGTATCACATCTACCTGGAAAACTTCTACACAAGTCTAGACTTTTTCTGCCACCTGTATATCCAGAAAACCTTGGCCTGTGGTACAGCACAAACAAACAGTTCTGACCAGAGGCTGGAAAGGGGGGAACAAAGAAGTGTTGACCATGAAGCGGAGGGATAAGCGGGATGTATGTGTCCTGTCCTCCATTCACAGACAACATGGTCCCATCCATGATTATAACCATGGGGTGGGAGTGGACTTCAATGATCAGATGCTACAGCCCTACTTAGCAACAAGAAGGTCCCTCTAGTGGTACAAAAAAAGTTTACGTTTACCTTTTTTCATTTGGCAATTTATAATTCATATGCCACCTATCACAGGTCACAGAAAGACTTGCCTCCTTTCTCAAATTTATAGAAGATATTATCACTGCATTTATCTACCAGCAAAGCTCTCCACCAGAAAATATTTGCTCTGATGCTGTGAGCAGACTTCATGAGCGACATTTCCCAGAGAACATTCCACCCACAGAAACGGAGGAAGACACCAAAAATGTCAGGTATGCAACAGGGGGAGTTAGGCAAGACACCAGTGTTCATTGTCCCCAATGTCCTTCCTTACCTGGTCTTTGCATCAGAAACTGCTTCTGACGTTACTAGATGTCACAAAGATATTAGTGTAGGTATTGTGCCGATATTTCTAACAACTTGCCACTTCTGATATCTGTGCTGATCATTTGCTGCAGCCTTGACTAACCATGCCTCTGTCTTCCACCTTAACTGATCCTGGCTTGTTTATCAATGATGCCTCTGCCTGCCATCTGGATTGTTTCTGAACTATGTTTCTCCCTTCCACTTAAACTGACCCTGGCCTGTTTATAGACAATGGTTCTGCCTGTCTTCTGGATTGTTTTTCAACCATGTTTCTGCCTTTCACCTGAATTGACCTCAGCCTGTAAATCAATCATGTCTTATGCTTGTTACTTGTACTGATCTTTTATCCTGCTACTGTAGTACTTGGAAGATAACACAGGGGTCTCACATATCTGAGAGGCCCTCAGAGTAATGTTTTGAATAGAGAAAAAACAGTTTTGTCATTCCTGGATCAGGGTCTGGAGTCCAAAGGCTTCAAAGAGATTTAGGTGGGAAGAGGCCTCTACTCCTGTGCCCAGGTTTTACCTGACTGAGGCCCTAAGTTTGATGTTTCTGCCTGCTGATATATGACCCTGGCCTATTAATTGACCATGCCTTGACCTGCTACCTGGACTGATTCTGGACTGTTTATGGACCATGTTCCTGCCTGCTACCTGGACCAATACTTTGGCTGTGCTGACCATGTCTCTACCTGCTCCCTGTACTGATCCTGGATTCCACGATATATGGAATTACACCCCAAAATACATTCTGCTACTTCTACCGAGTATGGGGATACCACATGTGAGAGACTTTTTGGGAGCCTAGCCACATACAGGAGCCTGAAATCCAACGATCACTTTGAAAGCTTAAAGATGTGTAACTTCCTCATTTCACTTCTTCAATACCTATCACAGTTTCGGAGGCCCTGAAATGCCAGGATAGCACCAACCTCCCCAAATGACCCCTTTTTGGAAAGTAGACACCCCAAGGAATTTAAAAAGTCTTGGTGAGTATTTTGCAGATCTAATTTTTTGAAATATAAAAAAAGAAAAGAAAAATGTTTTTGTTTTCTTTCTTCATTCAGCATGCTTCTTATCAAATTCCTTGGGGTGTCTACTTCCCAAAAAGGGGTAATTTGGGGGGGGGGGGGTTGGTGCTATCCTGGCATTTTAGGGATTCCAAAACTGGATCGGTAGTCAGGAAGTGTAATGAGGAAATAACGCCCTTTAAAAGCCTGAAGGTGCTTATTGTATTTTGGGGTCCTGTACTTGGCTAGACTGCCAAAAAGTCTCTCGCATGTGGTATCTCCATACTCAGGAGAAGTAGCAGAATGTATTTTGTGGAGTAATTCCACATATACCCATG